ACAAACCCCAAGGACACGATGAGCTGGTTCTGCAGTGACACGGCACACGCGGTGTCTGCAAAAACACCTCCACTGCAGAAATACTGATCTCTGGCAGCCCCCAAGCTGCTCTTGGCTTTGCTGCACACCTTAAAAAAAGGATGTACCGAAGAACACGACACCTCTCCAGTGTGACCAGTGACAGGTACCTGCACAGCTTGTTCCAATCAGGCAGATGCAATTTTTGCATCGAAAGTTGTTTCCCCTTTCGCAACTCCCCAACAGAAGATGTTTCTTTTGCCCTGTCAGGAGCAGGTGGGCAGAGGTCTGCAGGACAATCCAGGCTTTTCTTGCCTTTGTCTGGTTGGCCATTGCAAAGGGGTGACCTTGACCCTCCCTGGGTGAAGGGAGTTCAGTGTATAATTCAGCACTGAGCCCAAATCCATGAAAGACAAAAACAACAACAACAAAACCCCAAGGCAGACATTACTCAACTTCGATGTGGAGCAGAGTGTCCTGTCCAGTGTATCATCCTGCCTCCTTCCTCATCCTTCTCTGTAAACACCATTTACATGTGGGTTTATACAATCCATGTGTTCCCTGCAGTTCTGGGATCCCTTCACTTGTTCCACCCACTGGACTAGTTGTAACAGGCACTAAATTATGGGGGTTTTGTTGCTTGCTTAGTTTATACACCTGCAATTTCCTGGTTTATATGTCCAGAGGTTTTAGCCTTTAATTTAATATTATTCATAGATTTTATTGAGTATTAGTTCACTTTGTAAAGCACCTTAATGGGCAGTGTCTGTTTAATTATATACGGCAAAACCTATAGAAACAAAGGAAAATTGACCCAATTTGTTGCAGCTGGTTTACAAAGATTCCCTGAGGTGACTGAGCATTGCTTTTCCTTTTTACTGTACTTCACACATTTCCAAACTCGTGTCAGTTCACTTCTCATCTCATCTCTCCCTCTGAAGCAGCCTCAGTGTGGCTGCCCCTCCTCCCTGCAGCCCCAAACCCAACATCTTGTCAGCTGTCTGAGGCAGGAGGAAGGAGACTGACACAGTTCTGCGAGTTGTTTTTTTTTCCTGCTGCTACTGGAAATCTATTGTGGAGACCTGAGGTGACTGAGCATTGCTTTTCCTTTTTACTGTACTTCACACATTTCCAAACTCGTGTCAGTTCACTTCTCATCTCATCTCTCCCTCTGAAGCAGCCTCAGTGTGGCTGCCCCTCCTCCCTGCAGCCCCAAACCCAACATCTTGTCAGCTGTCTGAGGCAGGAGGAAGGAGACTGACACAGTTCTGTGAGTTTTTTTTTTTTTTTTCCTGCTGCTAGTGCTATCTATTGTGGAGCTGATCAAGAAGCATTTTTCTACAAGTAAGCCATGGCTGTGTGTGTCTTCATGGGTTAAAGTGCCCCCTCTATGCAGCCACAGGCAGAGATGGTGTGTGCCCTTGTGGAGGTGCTCAGCACAGGCTGTCTGGGCGGTGTGTGAGCTGCAGCTCTGGTTTGTGTTGCTGGAATCTGTTGGAGCATCAGCTCTGCCGTCTCCTGGATGCAGCATTAATTAAACAGAATGGCCCCGCTCCAGGCCCCAGTGGACAAGCATCCACATGGCAACTGTGAGCCTTGTCAGCAGCAAGAGATTAAGGAATTAATTGGCAGGGTTAATCTTCGTGTCAGGGTTGGAAATGAATTGTTAATTTGTTTGGATGAGTGTAAAGTCCTCTGGCAGCGACGGCAGGTGGGATCACATGAGGGAAAGGCTGCGAAGCTGCCCTTGCTGGGGACCTTTCTGCTTCACACCTCTGCCAGCAGACACCTCCAGCTCTCTGCCCCCATGTGTGAGGCTCCCAGGCAGGGCCAGAGGAGCTCCTTGTGTCACTCCCATCCTTGCAGGTGACAGCACAGCTGCTCCAGCCTGTGGCGTGGGAGAAGGCCTGGCTGCAGCTTGGGAGGGCCCCTTTGAATTCCAGCCTTTCTGATCCTGCTCCCTGCTGCTGTTGTCTGTTCCTTGTGTCTGTGCATAGCAAGTACTGGGTGAGGCCAACCTGCTCCAGGATCTGAGTGAGGAAGAGATGTGCTCACACCAAAATGCCACTTTTGGGGCACAGAGTGCAAAACCTGATTGGCCTGTGTGGACACTAAACCCTCTCAGACACTTCTCTCCTCCTCCAGGACACTGTAGAAAGAGAATCTCTCAGGTCAGTCAATGCTTTTCCCTTTCTGCTCTCATTTTACACTCAGGACAGCAGAGTATTTCCTTTAGTATCTTTCTAATGTCTTAAGGCTACTGAATTGGTCACATCACATTAAGGCATAGGAGAAAAGCACTTCAGGCCTTAAATTACATAAATGAAATTGTAACTTTTGTCACTTGTGCTCTCTTTTGTGCATTGATTAGTTTAATTAGTTCAGCAATAAGAATCACTTTCTCCTCCTGCTGGGGTCTGATATGTTGTGACCAACACAACCTGCAGACATGACATCAAACAGGAGTGGCCTATACAGAGACCTGGGATCTTTCTGGGTGTGCAACAATCCCATTTAAGACCTTGCAGTCAAAATCCTGCTTCTGTTCTCACCTCTGTCAAGGCCCATTGCCTCATTTATGGGGAGGCTGATGCTGTTCCAAGGTGCTGTAAAAAAACCAAATTTTTCATTGCCAAAAATTGGCTAGGTTTAGCCTACTTGCTCCAACTTTCACCCTGTCTTTCATTTTTCTCCTCAGCCTACAGGCAGCCAGGTGGCTGAATGTCAGCCAAAACTGAGAAGGATCTTTTTTCTTTTGAAGGGATGAGTGTTTGGAGATTCAGCAGCAGCACAGCTGAACCTGCCCTGGGTAGCTAAGAAGGTCCAAAGCATGTTGCTGGCATGGGCAGCTACTCCAGGGAAGTCTCACCTGAATTGCCATTTTCTATTCCACATAAAACCACCCTTGACAGTTTACTTAAAATTATTATTAGTAATTTGTCCTAAAATGTCAATAATGCAGTGATATTCTATCAGAGCTTTTCTGGACTGCCATTTCCTATTAATTCCTTAGAAATAGTGACAACATAATCTGGAACAAGACTGTCACCTTGTCTATGCCATACATAAAATGTTAATACTAAAAGTGGACTGGGTTCATCCTACCTAATTAGTTCTTTGGAGAATTTACTTTGTGCAGCAGCCTGGACTGTCCATATTGATGTTAACATATTATATAATCAGCTTTGGAACAGGCAGCAGTCTGAAGGCTGGGTTCTGTGTCCCTGTGCTAAGTCACTACCCTGAGGAGAGCACTGAAAATCAGCAGAATTTAACTAGAAAATAGAGCACAAAGGCCTGGGTTTTGTAAGGAGTTGTAGAACAACTGATTATGTCCAAATCAACATTGTTTGCAAACTGTGCTCTCCAAACATTTTTTATTGCTATATATATAGCAAAGATTTCACAAAATGAGTTACGTATTCCCTTTTGCTGTCCAAAGTGGGTGGTGAAGTCATGGAACATGCTATTTTGATAATTTGGAACATGCCCCAGGAGCTGATTAAATGATCTCTCTTGCTCTGTATGTGAACTGTGCGTTTCCATGCAAACATCACAAGGGTCAGAGCTGCAAACAGGAGCCTGCAGGATCTGCTCTATCTCTGCCTGGCTTTTTACTACCTGTTTAAACACCAAAGATATTTTAATAGACAGTTTAATAGACAATAGCTTGTCAACTGAAATACTCCCCTATAAAAGCAAACAGTGGATGAAGTGCAATTGCTACTGTGAACTTAATGGTAAGACATTTAACTATCATTTAGTGAGCTTTTAAAAAAAATCCAAGACCCGTATTTGAGGTTTTGAATTTTCCTTTTCATGAATCATGACTCTGCTGGTTCTGATGCTTGAATAGGCCCACGAAATTCCTCCCTGGCACAGGGTGCCCAGAGCAGCGCTGGCTGCCCCTGGATCCCTGGAAGTGTCCAAGGTCAGGATGGAAAGGGCTTGGAGCACCCTGGGATGGTGGAAGGTGTCCCTGCCCGTGGCAGAGGGAGGAACAAGATGAGTTTTAAGGTCTCTTTCAACCCAAACTATTTTGTGATTCCATGATCCTCAACAGCATCTTCACCTTGACTTTCCATGAAGAAATTTGCAATCTTCCCTCAAAAATGAAACAGGAAGAAGCAATCAACTGCTGTCTGTTGTTCCTCAAACCCTTGGGAGGCAGGACCCTGATGGAGATTTATCATCTCACTCCTGGCTCAGGTGAGCAGTGGGGCAGGCACAGTTTGTCACCTCTTTCCCCACAGCAGCAGGGTCTCTGCTTCAGTCATTCTGCACTCTGCTTCTAAGGTTGCTCTGATGTATTTATCTTTAGATTGTTGCTCTAATCTTGTCGACAGGAAACAATAAAATATCCTCTAAGATTAATATGTGAGATGAGAGATCCAATTAGTGCTCACATCCTTCAATCCTTACGGGTAAGAGCCTCTATTACATAATAACTATGGGTGGGAGTGGGCCCTGTTTGATCAATTTGTTCCAGTTCTTGGTTATGAATAGTTCAGGGAACTAAAACAGTGACAGATGAAGGCATAATTCCCAGATCAGAGAAGAATTAGAGAGCTGTAGGGTAGAACACAGGTATTTCTTGACATAGCACCAAACCAGAGATGAACAGCACAATGTAGATTTGACACTTTTATTAACAAAGAACCCATGGGGCTCATTCATTAGTACAAAATACAATCATGTTCCTGTATGTTAAACAGCTTTTTTTATTTTGTCTCTTTTAAACTGTTTCACAGTTATCAAAACAAAGCCCCTGCATATTGAACTTATTATTGTGCAAACAGTAATTATTTTTAAGGATCAATTTCTGCACTAAGCCAAGTGCCAGAGAGCAGAACTTAATCTTGTTTTCACCCCTCCTTTGAAGGGCTATGTGTGCTTCCTAAGAAACACATAATAGTTGACTTTTTTTGCAGCAAACAATCTAAGGCCACAGTTTATCTGCAAAGAATAGAAAACAACTCAAAAAAAAAAAAAAAAAAAAAAGCACACCTTTACCCTTCATACTGCTGTTTGCTTGACCATGATTATACCAGGTAGCACACATCACCTATCAGGTATTACAGTCCAAAAAGCACCTAATGTTCTTTAAGCTAATATTTTGAATTATTACCATGCAAGTTATTACACAACCAAATGACTTTTCAAGTAGCTATAATGGTATCTGTTTAAGGAAAAGATGCTTGTTCCCTTTCCAGATGTGAATTAAAATCCTGCACTGACTGTATGAGCAGGCCCTCACTTAAATAAAAAGGCATGAGAGCTACACCTTGAGACTTAAATAATCATTTTTAGAATGTCCTTTCTAAATCATGTACTCAAATTTTGGTTAAAGCTGCATTTGCTATAGAAAACAATACTAAATGTTGCAAATGAAAGGAGTAACTGCAGTTTGGAAATGCAAATCTCCACCAGTCTGTCTTTCACACTGATGCAAAAGAGATTTGAGGTGAAGTGCTAGAAATTAGACAATGTAAGGAAGTTAATTAGACAATGTAAAAGAAGACTAAAAATATATATCTGTGTATGCCTGTAGAAAAATCCCTGCTTCTTAAGTGAAGACAGATTTCATACAAAACCATTTAGACTTTGTTTAAACTGCAGTTATTGATGGAACGAAGGAAACTGAATTGCTATTTTTGTAATTATCAGAAAGTACACTGTTTTACCACATGAAGCACCGGGTTTTAACCCTAAACCCTTCTGTAAGACATATGGAGTACTTCTAGTAGTCCAAAATCCCCTGTATTTCAGACAGGACTGTAAACATGCATGTTGACAATGCTGTTTTCTGCTCCTGTAAGTGATCTGTTGGTGATTGTTTACTGATCCCAATTGATGGTTGGCAGGAAGCAAACATTCTACTTTTAAATGAAGGCAGCAGAAGGGCAAGTAAATGCTGTGCCTTCACTCTTAGCAGCAACAAACTCTCACTGTTCTAAATGACCTGAGGAAGAAAACATTAAAATATTGCACCAAAACAAAATTAAACAGCAAAAACAAACAAGGAAACACACCGACAAATACAGAATGGATAGCAAATGACCAGTGCAGCCCCTGACAATAGATCTTTAGACAAAAATGCAGGAGTAATGAAAAGCTTTGTGCCATTCCCAGAGGACTATGTTCCCCTGATGTCTGCTTTCACTTCAGTTATAAGCTATGTCTATTCTGGGTATATTTACACCTCTCCCTACACCTCATATCTCATTCACTAACCACAGAAACCATTTAGGGTCCCTTTTAGAACCTTGAAGTATACTGGAGCTTTAACAAGACTTTTTTTGGTCTCAAATCTGACCTTAAGTAAATATCCAAAACAGAGGTAGGCTTATAAAGGCTTTTGAATAAATAAATATTGTCCATTTTGCTGAGTATACCTGCTGCTGGCAAAAGGTTTCTCCCTTGCCATGCTTCCCCTTATCATGCTATCCATAGGCTTAAGATGCAGAAGAAGAACTCACAGTAGAAGAGGTTAGAATAATTCCCTTAAGAAATCCCTTGAAAGAAAGCATAGTGCATAAGCTCGTCTCAAAGTTCACTGTTTGTTCCACACTTGTGTCTTGCATTCAGGAAATGGTTGCCTCTGTAATATTGCATAATAGCCATTCTGTCATCCACGGTGTCCTCAGGATCAAGATGAATGAGGAAATAGTACCACTTGGCAGTCGTGGGAAGGGCAGCTTCCCATCACACATGAAGTTAAGACTTCGCTCTGTGTTGCAGAAGTGTTCCTTTTTTGGATGCAGACAGTGCAAAGCTGAAGCCCCTTGAACACTGGAATCTTTTGGAAATGTTTTCTTACCCCACATTCTGTTCTGCTACAGGAGTTCTTGACATCACTATTACATTCTTCCAGAGCATTGCAAACAAAATATAAATTCTTTTCTCTTCAGAAGATCCACACCTCTCCTCCTCGTACTTTGTGTAGTGTATCCACTTTTTGGAAAACATTCAGTGTTTCACTGATGCATTTTTGTTTCAGTATTTTCAGGTATTTCTCAAGTATCCCAAGCTCAGCTGCTCCCCTGTTATCCTCTGTGCAGACTAATCCAGCAGGTTCTCTTTTATCACCAAACGTGCTCATACCACCTTCTCCATTTTCCTTTACCTTTCTCATACACAGACTGAAGTTTGGAGAAAGAAAACTGTTTCCTTTTTAGCTGCACTACCAGCTTAAGCAGCAGAAAGATTAAGACATTCATCACAATGATGCTCATTACAAATCCTCAGAGCATGAATGAAACGGGCTGAACTTCTTCTACATCAGTTGGATGTGGATCAATCTAAGGAGAGAAGAAAGACAACAATTACTGCCCGAAATTCCTGCATTTAGGTATGTGTTTGGGTTTTTTCTGCCATCTGACAATAAAAACACCACCTGCTATTTATTTTCTTACCTCTGAATAAAGAGGTGGAGGCTGAAACCGGAACTCTTGTATGTAAGCAAAGACAGGACAACACAACTGTTCCTCACAGTCAATGGGAGGTGGATAAGCAGGAACATGTCTGGAAAACTCTTCCTCAGACACTACATCAGCATAATTTGGTGGTGCTGAAACACAAGAGATGCTTCTGTCATGTTTCAAACTATTCACTCACTCACAGCAAGAACATCTGCATTACAGTATATCCAGGACCACAAAAACTGTATTGGAAGTGCACTGAACTCATAAATACTGTAACTAAAATTATGTTTTCAGTAAACTCAGGTGATTCAGCAGGAATACAGAGTGCTGTGCTTTTAGAATAACTCCAGCAGCAAACCTGTGTTGTATCAAGATACATTCAGTAATGAGTAGAATATTCCCACCATCAGAAGCTAGCTGTTTCAGTCAGATGGGGTACAGAGAGGCTTCAGGAAGGCTGGAGTTGGGGTAACCTCACCAATAGTTTTGGATCTCAGTTTAAGAACTTTGTGAGTCGTATTTCCATTGCCTACATCCCTGGCAGTGCCCTTAAACTGGCACTGCACCCATCTGCTGCAGACAGTGCTGTGCTGGATTAGAGACAGTTCAATATGTATTTATTACCTTCAGGGTGTTCAGGCATGGTCAATGCCAGCCAACTCATATCCATACTAAACTGGCTGGTAATGCTGGAGTTTCTGCTTGAAAATCCAATACATGGAATAGTGCCAATCACCACAGGCATTTCAATCATCAATTTCTTAGCACCAGGAATATGGATATACACCTATGTGACAACCCCCAAACAGAAGAAAAAAACATCATGAGACCCCATTGAATGCTGCTCTTAAAAGCTGCCCTGCTCCCTACACTGCAAATTTAAAAATTAAGAGCTTTGTCATCCCAGATATGCTTAGCTAATACCCTGGCAGCTTTCCTTATTTTACAGCAGTTTCCTCCTTTCTGTAACTTCTCTCTAAGTGACATTAAAAAATAAAAACCATCTTGATAAACGTAATTATGCACTTGACTTTCAGTCTTATCTTCCCATTTCTGGAAAGAATCACTTGAGGACCCCATTCAGCTTGAAATGCTTTCCCAAAACAATCCCTGCATGTCTGAAACTAAGCTGCTTCTTCCTTAGAAGCAGTTTTCCCTTTTCCACACTATTACCATCTTTTCATCTCAGAATAATTTTGTGACCTTCAGTCTCTCATGTATGTGGTTGATGATATTTATTTTTCATGGAGTCATAGAATGGTTGGCTAAGAAGGGATCTTAAAGATCATCAAGTTCTAATTCCCCTTTGCAGGCTGGGCCACTTTTCTCTAGAGTTGTATTTATTGTAGTAATGGTTGGCTAAGAAGGGATCTTAAAGATCATCAAGTTTTAATCCCCCTTCGCAGGCTGGGCCACTTTTCTCTAGATTTGTATTTATTGTAGCTCCCAAGTTAAAAACCTAACAGCTACTCAGTAAATTCTTCTGTTCCCAGTTGAACACAAAATCTAAAGTTTGTACATTTGAAAACCCAATACTTACAGCTAAAGAATATTCTACTCTAATAATGCAGCAGTCAAGTATAGATGGGGATACAGGTGGGATTTTCAGAGTTTTCCCATTCCAGGTATCTGTACTCCCAGAGGCAATGTGGTTTCCTCGGACATTGGCAACCATCTGACGGAAGGTTTTTGTCTTCCCACTGGCCAGGTAAGTTTGTGTTTGGAAAATGGCAGCTTTTGGAACAATCAAACGAGAAGAGCAGTTCTCAATTTCTGCATAGATTGGGATGGCTTCCCCTTAGAGACAGAAAAAGTCCAATGAATAATTGGTATTTACCAGCTTTCCTCTGGGAGTATCAAAGCATGTTACACAGCACGTACATCATCTGCAGTGTTATGAGAACAATACTTGGTAAGTTTCCTCGAGCCAGTTTATTTTTTTCAAAGTAGTATCCAGGCAAAATTATAGCCACCTACTATGTTTTACACATAAACAATGATTCATTTTGAAACATTAAGCATAATATGAACAAGCTATAAAAGCTTTATTTGCAAATTACGTCCCAATCTTCCTTTTATATAGTACTAAATGAATTTCAGGACGTTTTATTTTCTCAATGTATCTAATGTTATCAAGCTGAAGAAGAAGCTGCTAAAGCTCATTCTTACCAAAGTGTAAACCTACAAAAATAGGATGTAAAAACCTAATTACATCCTAGATAACTATTTTATCCCAGACAAATTTTGTTGTTCTTTACACACAAATGTACATGGATTTTCCATAAGATTATTAACAGAACTTCCTTTCAATTTATATTCCCAAGGGGAAAGGTAAGATGATTTTTTAAAAAAAATTATATTCATATGGATCTTAATTTACTTCTATTAAACAGAATTATTCTTTGAACTACAAACTGTTGGCTTTACTGAGATTAAAAAAAAAATCCCAACCTATTAGATGGTTAGTATTTACATTTTTAAGGTAACTACTCTTACCATTACAGTATCCCTTCCTCTCAATTTTGGCACTGAGAGACACTGGCCCAGAGGTGAAAAACCAACAGCCAACCATCTTCTCCTGACTTCTTAGAACAGGTGTCTATAAAATATAGAGTATTTTTCATTTTATGGGATAAATCTCTCAATCACTTGCAGTTTAGTGTTATGCATATCAGTCATTGCAACCCAGCTCTAAAATCCACATGATCTGAATCCCTGAACTGCTCAGTGCAACTGTAGTTTTTGCCACCATGTGAAATGGAACCAAGGTCTGGCAATCTGAACATTTCTCTTTTGAAGTCCCAGTCTGTATTTAGGCTGTGCTAAGTAACACAGACCAGTGTGTCTTGTATTTGCTTGGTCTTCAAAAAGAACTTTTTAGAGGTCTCATGGAGCACTGTGGTGTTTATCTCCTCTTTCTCAATGCAGAAGAATGCAGAATGAATTTTATCTGCAAACAAGTAACAGTTAAGCAGGTAATTTGTTTTTACTTTTGTACCTCTAAGAAAGGATAAATAGATATAGACACTGGGCTAAGGGGATGCACCCTCATTACCTGCAAGCCACAAAACACCCCCAAAAATGTAGAGGCATGACAAAAACCATCTTAATTATTCAATGACTGTCACACTGGATGACATTTACACTGCCTGTAACGTTTTCATTAGAATAAACTCACAAGCACACATGCCAAGTGTCCAAGGCAGGATCAAAGCTACTCAAAATGATTTACTGGGCAGTGACACTCATCAATACAATAATGCAAATTGGTTTTTTATTTTCTTCATTATAATGAAAAAACCCTGCTGTTTTGCATTTTTGGTGGTAGCTTTGGAATCCATTAAGGCTGGCACTGCCTTCCTGATGTGTCTTCTGTGCAATAACCTATGGTGTGCTTTGTCCTTACAGAATGTGGGTATGATGCCTTCAAACTCCTAACTACTGAAGATAAAGACCATTCTGCTTACAGATGTCACTGCCAAAATACCCTGAGTTCTCTCTAGAATGGATTAAAATGTAAGGATGTAATGAGGGGGAAAAAAAGCCTGCTCAAAACATCTCTTTTCTATGTTCACGTCATGATGTTAAAATTATCCTACCATTTTAAATAAAATAGAAATGACTCATTCATATTTAAATGAATAACCATTTAGATCCAGTTGCTATCATGAAAGTGCAAGGTATAATTTTATATTATTTTCATAATATGGGTTGAGATAAAAGAATCCAGCTCATTAGCTTCCATCTTGCCTATTTACTCATTACTTAATGCCTGATCTTTCTTATTACTCTACAGTATTTCCAGTGATTATTAAAAACTCAATGCTTTAATGTGGCCAAATCTGTCACAGGGAAATAACTGAAAGGATCTCTGGAGCAGCTGCATGCACACACTTCATGTTAGAAAACGACATGCAAAATGCAGGGATACATAACATAATGGCCAGAGCCTAAATGACAGGCTGGGCATGATTAATACTCTTCTCTAATTACTGCTCCTCAACCTACTATTATTGTAGAGTTTAGGACACTGCAGCCCTGTGAATGTAGTTGCTCTGGTAAGAGTAACTACTCTGCACACACACATTACTATTATTAAGCCTTATTTATGCATCTGAAGCCTGCCTGACTTTTTGGCAGGAGCATCTCTGCCAGCAGGGATGTAATCAATGGTATTAAAAAAGCCACTCTGTTTGCTATTCACACAACCTAAGATAATCTATTTATAGAGAAAAGCTCAGGGAGCTTATATGCTTTCAGAAGTCAGAAAATGATGCTCTGGAATAACATGGGAAGGGTTATTGCTGGATGTGAATGCTGCTTGGGAATGGTTTATTTGCAGCTGGTTTTACAGGGGGGAGGAGAAGTGGGGGACCCTCTTACCAAGAGAGCTGGTGAGCTGACATCGATATGGCTGATGATCTGCAGCTCTGTCTGCACACTCTGGTCAGGCACAGCAGGCCTCTCCAGCACTGCTTTCACGTAGTACTGGATGCTGCCATACTTCCCAGTAAAAGAGGTCACCAGAGGTCTGAAACAAGCAGTCATAAAACCATTACCTTCAATTAATAATTCAGCTCCAAACATTAACACTTCCTGCACACAATAAACATTTCCCAATTCACAGCTTGTACTTTTTAGGGCCTTGGGGAAGCTGAAGCAAACAAGGCCTGTCTGCGTGGTGCTTGATTAAGACAAATATATAAAGCTGATACTAAAAAAAACACAAGTCAAACTACATTAAGTTAATGTTCCACTACAAGCAGTATCCAGCACAATCCCTTCAGGTTGGATTACTGAACTTACTCTTGAGGGAGCTGAAAGCTGAACGGAAATTCGTGTCTTCCATCTAGAAGAATTAAGTTTTCCTCACCTGTAGAATAAGAATGAATAGTATGTTTTAGTTATTCCAGAAATAGAACAAAGCAGACACTTTTATAAATTATTTATGTACGAAAACACCCAGATGCAAGAAGTTTTTATTGATCCCAGTGGGTTCTGGACTGTGGCCCATACTTTATTTATGCTGTGATGTGATTTCAATGAAAAACAAAAATCAAGGAAACATGGGAGACCTTGAGATTCAGTTCAGGACTCTGGCCAATTTCTAATCCAAAATGGCTTCTGCAAAGCATAAAGTAAGTTTCTTTTCAGCAGAACAGCAATTAATCTACTTTTCCAATTAACAATTTAACTTCTGTGCCGAAAAACCTGCAATTTACGGTCAGCATGAAGAAACACTATAAATACACGAGCTCCCAGTTTATTCATATAGGGCCTACTGTCACGCAATTTACAAGGCCTAAATCTACTTTCCCTACAGATCAGCCTGAGCTGCGTTTCACCATAAAACGAAAGGTCGTTGTGCGGTCTTTTTAATTTTTTCCAACGCAGCAGTGTGTGAGTGACAGAGCTCCGGCAAGGCAGCTTCCCCCGCTGCCTTAATCCACCGGCTGAGCCTGGCTGCTTCCAGGCTCTTCCACGGCCGCTTCCCAGGAGCTGCCGGTGCCGCGCACCCAGCGCGGAGGGCCCGGCGGACCCACGGAAGGGCCGAGCCTCTGCACGACGCCCACACACACAGCGCAGGGAATTTTATTTTATTTTATTTTACTTTATTCCAGTCCCGCTCGGCGCTCTTCAACCCCCACGCAGGGAACCAACCGCGCGGCCGCGGATGAGGACAGATCGTTCCGGGCACAGGGCTGAGCGCTGCGGCCGCGCCGTCCCGCCGCTGCCCGCCACCCGCGGCCGCTGCCCGCTCCTTCGGGTCCCGGTGCCCATTCCCACCCGCAGCGTTCTCCCCCGCTTCCCGCAGCCCTGCCCGCTCCCGCAGCGCCACTCCCCCGTCCCGCAGGAGGCTCTGCCGGATGTCCAGGTACCGCACCTCGGCCTCCCGCCGCGGCCCCGGCCCCGGGGCCCGCACCGCCACCCCCCACGTGCCCGCCCCGGGCACCGCGCCGGGGCTCTCGCTCCAAGCGACGCGCGCCCGGCCCGCGGCCTCCAGGCGCAGCCCGCGGAGCGGCAGCGGCCCCGCCAGCTCCAGCAGCACCTGCCCGGACACCGTGTCCCCGCTGCAGTAACCGCCTCCGCCGCGCCGGGCCTCGTCCTCCAGCACCAGGGCCAGCGTCTTCACCGCGCCGCCGGCCCCGGGGCCCGGCCCGGCCGCCGCCATCGCTCCCCGGCCGCGGGGGAACCGCGCCCGCCCTCGCCGAGCGCTTTAAACCCGCCCGTCCGCGGCCCCGCGCGCCGCCATTCGCCGCGGGCCGCCCCTGCGCCCCCGCCTCATTGGTACTCGGCGGGCGCACGCCCGGAGTGCGTCACGCTGCGTGATCGCCGCGCCGGGGCCAATCGCGAGCGGGCAAGAGCGCGTGGACAGCTCGGCGATTGGCGGGGCGGCGGCAGGGCCCCGGCGCGCGGGCCAATGGCGCGGCGCGGCCACCACGTGCACAGCCTGTGGGTAAACAGGGAGCGGGGGCGGGGCCGGAGGCGGGGCCATCACCCCTCACCCTTCACGCCCCTCCGTGACGGGACTCGGGTGGCGGCAGCGGCGGTTCGTGGTCTTGGCCTCGCTTCGCCCACTCCTGTGGGCTGCCCGCCAGCCCAGCGCTGTGGGAAAGCCGTGTGCCCTTGGTGACCCCGCGCTGAGGGGATACCTTGTCTCTCGGTGTCCTCCGGGTGCTGCCGCGGGAGAGAGGGAGGCAGCGCGGCGCTCTGGGGCGGTCTCAGCCTCTCCCGCTGACAGCCGGGCTGGCTGGGACTGTTAAATATGGAAAAATGATGTGGTGCTGCTGTTCCCCCCTGCTTTGCCTGGAGATTACCTGCCTGTGTGAAGTCTTGCCCCACTGAAGGGCAGGAGGTGAAGGGGTTTAGCTGTAAATGAGCCGTCCTGGGCAGCGTGGAAACCTCTTGTCCACACCAATAATGTGCGTTTCTGCACCTTGTAACTCAAAAAGCGCTACAAGTTCAAGAACTTGTTTTTACAACCCCACTTGGTACCTGGGCAGTGAAATGGGTGCACCCCGCTGTGTGCTGTCCCACCTAAGCACTTCATCCATTGGTAACACTTGGGAGATAGAATAAAGAATAAATGCAAAGCTTTGCTGTTATGTTTAGAAGCAGAAGCTTAGGAAAGCCCAGCGGACAGTGGAAGAGTGGTGAACGTGTCTGAGTCGATGGGCGGGCGCGGCCAGAATCATCATTCCCACAGTGATGAGGGAATCCGCAGCCAGCCCCGGACGTGCTGCAAACCAAAATGCTTCGATTCCTCTGGACGCGTACTGCAATTAATGCTGTTCTTGGCCTTGTGGTGTTTTCATCTCCCAGGAGGTGTGTGCGGTGGGTGATGTGCCGGCTTTTCCACGGGTGACCCGGGAGTCATTTCCTGCTCCGTCACCTGCCTGCTTGAAGCTCCTGACAGCTGCATCTTCCTGCATTCCTCCATCCCTCTGGGGCGCTGCAAAACACCGGCCTGGTGCTTCCCAGCTGACTCAGTTAATTACTGAAATTAGCAAAACTTGTCCTCGGCCCTTGGCTTTTAAATAAATAGCCAATGAGGTAAATCTAGGTTTTCACAGAACCCTCGTGGTTCCCATGAAATGTAGCCTCCTGTTGAGAGTTCCTTCTGTGAGGAACTTGCCAAGAGCCAGATAGGCCTTTGGAACACTTTTTTTTTTTGCTATAAGTTCATACACACATCCATGTTAATCAATAGTGACCTGGGGAAAAGGAATGTGCTACAGGTGGGGTGAACTCATGGGCATTATTTCAACCTTTGGCCATGCATTGTCCAGCTCATGATGAAAATTATGTAAAGAAAATGACTCTGCTGTGATAATGGTTGTTTGAATATTTAAAGAATTGTTGCCTGTTCGCATCCCTTTGTGCGTTTGAAATAATTCTTGACAGAAACTGCAAATGTTGCATTGTAGTTGGGAAATGTGGTGTATAAAACTGTGCTATTTTGGTATTTCTTAAGTTCAATTAAACTCAGATGTGCTTAGTTTTGCATCAATCTTTTCCTTGTATGCAGTTTTTCACGTTGACAAGTATCAGGTTAGTTTTGTAGTCAGCCAAGAGACCGTGATTGGATGTGCAGGCTGAATATTTGCTTATTTGATGAATTTCATTAGGTACAATATGTGTGTGTGCAGACTGATTTTGAGAGTATGATGCAGCAGGGAAAAAAAAAAATCAAAATCCCACAACTCCCTTTTTCCTGCATGAATTAGATCCTCTGTAAAAGTAATTATTTCTTTTATGGGTTTATGCGACCATTCAAACATTGCCTCCCTTTCATTCTTTGCAAGTGCAAATGAGCTAGATAGGGAAATGAATAAACATGGCAAATTGCTTATGAAACAAAACATTACCCAGAATTAGGGAGAGCTGGGAGGCTTCAGTAACTCCAGCAATTAGCCTGTAGAGGACACAGTTAATAGGCACATTCTCTCACAGTCAGGTGATACTTGTTCCAGATGTTTGTTTGCCCTTCAATACATCTTTTTTTTCCAGCAAGAATCAGAACCCAGTACTTGCTGTAATTATCATGGTGTGATTGGTTTTCTCATCTACTCATCTTTTTGGTGTTTGAGGCATTTTAACTGGCCCACACAGTGACGTTGTGGCATGAATGGTGGAAGCCACTACATGACTATTTTAGTCTCTGACAAGCCAGAAGGAAGGAAGAGGAGATGAACACTCGCAGTGTGGGTGTTTGTGTGTGCCTGGTTATCTAAACGTGGGAGTAGGTGTGACAGAGCAGGAGATACATTAACATGCTTGATTATATTTAATTCCACTCATTTCGCTGCTTTATTCAGGACTGTGTTAGAAAGAGCTGCCTGAAAAACTTAGATAATGCAAAAATTAGCTTGTAAGAGTAAAGAATACACAAAGCAAGGTCTCATTGGAGAGTATCCACAAAGCTGTGAACAGCTCTAGCAATAATCACAGACTCTTCATGAAGGGAAAGGAAGTAGGAGAACATCTTCCTGCAGTAGCTGGTGATATCCTGGCTCTGCTGGTTAATTTAGAAATGGCTGCTGTGGTCAGGTCACTGAATTTAGTCGAATAGTTTCTACATTCAGTAATTATATTTTAACTCATTTCAGTGCTTATGTTGAAAACAGGGCTATCAGGGCTTGAACGTGCCAGAGGAGTTTTGGAAAGTGTGGAATTGATTCCAACTTTCCACAAGGAGAAGGACACACAATATATAAATAAATAACCTTTTTTTTTTTTTTTTTTTTTGGTGGAAGATATAAGATAAGAAATGGTCTCAGTAACAGCTTCTTGTGCCAAGAAGGTTTCTGTTTTCCAAGAATCCAAGCTGGAGCTGGGAAGGAAGTGAGAAATTTGATGAGTATTTGCTGTCTTCTTCCTGCGTGAAGGGAGCTGAGACACAGCTCTTCATCGTGAGTCAGGCACCAGGAGTTTGCCAACTAAGCCTTTCTGTTCTTAATAGCCTGGCAGTTTAGAGAGTGAAGAGCTATTTCTGCTACTGGAAGAGGACTTGGGGAAGTGTTTATGAGAGCTGCTAACAGCTAATTTACAAATTGCAGTTCTTATTTGAGGTTGTTGTGTTTTAACATCCATTCAAGCATCTTTCTTAGCCGGTACCAAACACAAGGGGCCAAACCCCAGTGTCTGAGCTGCAGCTGAGTTCAGTGGAACCATGAACCAGGATGTGTGTGGGTGAACAGTATGCAAATCCTGACTTTTCTGTATGGGAGGGGGGATTTGTCCATTTACCTCATCCTTTATCTGCAAAGAATTTCAGCTATCTCAGTGGCTCTGACAGATATTAGGAAGCAGTTGGCTGAGAGCAACATTTACCCCTGAAAGCAGATATTACAGGCTCTGGATTTCCACAAAAGCCCTCAGAATATAAGGCCCTTTGTTTTCCCAGATACCCAGAAATCCTCATTCTGGGGTTGTTTATGGAGTCAGGACTGGGAGGCATGAGAGACAATTCCTTTCTTTCCCTAGTTCCTGGC